TATTTGAATGTAGTGAATGTCAACTTCGGATAGATAGAGATGTAAATGGCGCCCGTGGGATTTTTCTCCGGGCTTTGTTGGATGGAGCTATCTTTTTAGATACGGATTAGACAATGAAATGATGTTGTCTAGCATTGTCTAGCCATGTCTATCTGAGTCTGATTGAAGCCATCCGTAGCCAATATTACGCAAATGCAACACACGTGATTTCTGTTGCGGAAATGATCAATATAGCAGTAGTGCGAAATCTGTTTCAAATAGTGTTTCAGCTAGCTGTTTTACAAAACTAATACAATATCAAATTTCAGACATCAAATTCGCGCGCGCACAACATCATTTGTTATTGATCCAGTTTTACGTTTTTGAGCTTCCTGAAAGTGAGGATGTTATTTCTATATTTAGGATGAACCACAATAGTGAGCGCTCTAAAACATAGGGTCACCATAAATAAATGCAATGCAGCACCCGAGATGTTGCATTTAAGAGGTGTGTCACTGTTAAATGTAACGCAACACCCGATCCGATTATCTCTAACTGCTTGATGATCTCGTATCCATTTACTAGAAGCTGATGGTCGGGATGAAATCCTATATTGGCAGCATTCCTCACGGTCGATTGCATAAGCAATCTCTTGTACCGATCATTCCATTTTAAGCACTCAATGTTAAAATTGCCTTTTTTTTGTTAGTGTGTTTGTTAAATAGTTGTAATCAAAACCTTGTACAAACTGTTGATTTTTAAAACGTCATAGGAATTCATGACTTGACAATTTCACAAGATTAACACTTCCTTTGACTGTAAACAGTTCTTGACCAGTGCAAGTCAAATATATTTTAGCAATTTGCGGCGATGCATACGGCTAATATCTGAACTTTTCTTTTTTCGGCAGACATCCAATTACAATTTATGCGGCACTGATAAAGAATCTATCCTGGGCAATTCCATTCGGAATTCAAAAAGTTTCAGAAACAAAAAGACAAATAAGTAGAATGTAAATACATTGACTTGTATGAATTCATGTCAATGGTTTGTTCAGTAAACAATGTTTACGCATCGAGCGAGTCGGAGTTGATGTAACGTCAATATCTGTTCAATTGATCACGATATTTCCCCTGCATTCGACCGAAGAACAAAATTCAACTTTATGCTTCACTTGGACGTTGTTAAGAAAAGTGTTTGAGCACAAACCTTTGTTACCAAATGTTGTGATTGACTGACTCGACAGTCAAATTTGGTAATACATAGCAAAAAAGGTAATACTATTGAAAATATAATATACCTGATGGTTGGACAGTGAATAAACTTTTGTCTGATTGGCGAGCGTAATTTTTGATTATTACCCTTTTCGTAATATAGCTGCTGCTGAGCACCATTACTATCCAGCCAACGACTGGCTCGATGATCTGTTGTTACTTGACATTGTCTGCAGTGCCACCAAACAATTGCTCATCAAGAGTTGTGTTAAATTTGCAAAGATAAAGTTATAAACTCCCCCTCCCCGCGCTTTCCCCCATTAGTCGCGATTATCCGTGCCTAACATAAAAATATATTTATCGCTCCCCAATTTTATGTTTCATTATGACAAAGTCGATAAAAGAATTGATTTTTCCTTCACGACGTACCGAGCTTACTGGTATCAGAACATCGAGAAGAATATTTTTAAGTTTTCTCTACATTGGTGTGGCTATCTATTTTTGCTGGAAAGTATATAAGCTGTCCAAAGATGAGAGAACTTTATCCTATCAACGAGACACAAAGAATCCCATTCCTGCCCCAAGTACGTAATTTTCCTACTAATGCATATGAACTGATATTAAACTTAATACTGATTCATTCTCTTTTGCTTTCAGTCGTCACTTTTGTCTCTATATATCAATTCACTGTCACATGCAAGGTGGGCTATGCTGAGAATGGCAATTCTGGTATGTTGATAATAATGACGCTATTTATCTATTCGTTGATGTCCAACACTAATACGTGCGTCGTGTGTGCGTCAATTCAATATTTAGATCTTTGGGATGATTGTGGTGCTTATGTTAATGTCGACAACAGCTTTCAAAGTCTTGGTTATTACGGGATGACCTTTAATGCGCCCGGCTTGAGCTTTGCTGATCCTAACGGTAACACGAACGGGCCCATCTTACAAGGAATTGGCTTGGAGATTAATATAAACGATCCAACGTATAATAACGGCGATGCTTCGATGAGTGTGTTGTTGACTGATAAAGGTATACATTAGTGTACTTTTACACAAGTTACATGAGCAAAATCGTTATGCTATGCTAACGAAAAAAATTACTATTAAAAAACAATCCTTAGATACGCTGCCTGATTTGCAAGTGGCGTCCCAGAAGCAACACATACAAGGAATGTCTACTTTCGTGTCTACGGCAGTGTTGGGTAATTTGTACTATCTCGCTAAAAATCAGGTAAGCGGGTTATATTCTGATATGTAGCTCCACTATATACTGATTGCAACAACCCTCACGTGATTAGGAGTACGCCGTATATTACGAACGCAAAATAACCAATTTCCTTAATCAAAATGTTGCAAACGTACTTTCCGGAAACGGTAATCATAAACCTTTACCATTGCTAACCAGCACAATAGGTAAGCTGGAACAGCAAGTATTATATCTTATTTAATTAGCGAGTTGATCGAACACTTTGCTTCTAGTATCGTACCCCAACGCCGACCCAAGTTACACGTTTGTCGATATAAGGCCCAGCTCTTATGTAGTCATAACGGAGACCGAAGACTCGTAAGTATACACGACACACTTAAACTGCTCGAATGAAAAAAAAAAAAAAGCATTGTTAATGTCTAACATATATCCAACCTCTTAACACTAGCTCTTTCACAGTAAGTGATCTTATTAGTGCTGTAGGTGGTATCTACGGTGCTGCAATAGCAATCTATGTATGTTTCTTCGGTATGTAAACCAATTCAATTCATTTATTTCTCTGCTTTTCTGTCAAGCTCTCGCAAGTATTTTGTTAAGCGCCTATATCGATTACTTGTTTTATAGGCGCCGATGAAATCGGTCCATGGGGTTGTGTTCAACGTCTGCTGCCGTGCGCCCGCCGCAGAGTTAGGTCTCGTCTTTACGAAAGTCTACGTGAACTAAGTCCAAATAATATTCCGTTCTCGGGCTCTGTATACTCAAAAAGTTTTTCGTACGATCAGAAAGTTGACGATATAGGAAAAAGACTGCTTTCATTGGAGTTGTTTTTAAAGGAATACGTTGTAGACGCAGGCGCCATGATAAAGAGTGACGCCAACGGAGACATCTACTGAGAAGAATGTCGAGAATTGATTGTTAGAAAGATAAAAAGTTTAATAACCGGTCAAATTGTTAATCGACTGTAGGCTTTGTTGTATTCTACTGAACTGTTATTCATATTGATGGATTAACGTAATGTGTAGGTTATTGTTGTAATTATTATACGAAAGGGGATAATGAAGACATTTTAATGTGCGACGCGCTCGCTTGTAAGTCTGAGCGGTCTGTATTTAGCTGTAATACCGTAGCTGATTCAATAAATTCCTAGTTGTAGTTAGAGTCTTGTCAACTATGTAAGTTTTTGCTGTAATGAAATATAATAGTAATAGGAGAACATGCGATCAATAAAGTTGTTCTCACTTCGACTCTTAATGACTCTTTTGAGAATCGATACAAATACCCTAAGCACATTCTTGGATTTTATCGTTAGAACAGGCGTATTATAATCATATGCTAGCTTTTACATGTCAATGCACAATGAGTCTGGATTGTTATCAGGGAATTAAAGAAGCACAATTGGAAGCCTAACAGCACTAATCGCTTGCTTCAATTTGTTGATTATTTTGAAGGCTTTTTCTAACTCGAAGATTGGGTAGGCAAAAATAATTAAGCATTCGATGACGTAGAAAAAGCTTATATATGTGTAAACCAAAATGAGTAAATGTCATGGATTCACTCAATCTGATGACTATAAATAAAATGGCGTTTGATTGAACGTGCGTCTTATTATTAAACAGTATAACCGGAGAAAAAACCGTATATGCTATATTCATTTTAAATCCGCAGTAATCATGGCAAGAACCAATGGTGTGGCAGTTTACTTCATATGACTAACCTAATCCAATTAGGGTTAATCATCCATTATAAATGCAGAAATGGCGTAAGCCGTAAGCCGTAAGCCCACAAATAGTTTTCTTTTCTTTTGAACCAAGTCTTCGATTTCCAATAGTTGTCTCCGTAAAATGTTACATCCCATTATTTCAGAAAAACAGTTCACTCTTTATGTACGATCCTCCCCAAGTGAAGAACTTTGTTCACAATGCACCCTCGATAACCTCTTACCAAATTAAAGCTAGAGGTTATCCCCCCCCCCCCCCTCACCACTCGCTAAATGTTCTCGCGAGTGGTACCACCTTGTCAATTCGCCATATGCAAAATCAAAATGGCTCATCCGTAAATACACCGCGACCCACGCATGGGTAAATGCGATACGGTTGGGTGAGCCATTTATAAACCCCGCGGTCGTTCAATGCCAGAAGGCGAACATCAGCCGGTACACTGTACAACTATTGAAGGACAACACAACAGGCATATCCTAACGGTGGGGAAGTCATCTCACCGATGACACATAATGGCAGAAGCGTACAAACGGTACCAAATGGCGGCGTCTCCATGAGAACTTTAAAGAGCATTTTATTCCTTATCGTGCGTATATATATACGAAAGTTATAGACTTGCTGGCTCCGTTACCTCCTAGGCCAGTGCTGTCCTACCCACTAACATATGGAGTGGGATGGCTATGAAAACGTTCCACAACTGAACGTTTTAGCACGGGCAGTTATTCTTTTGAACTCCAGAGATACCGCATATGCAACCTTACTGGGAAGACACCCATAATGCGGGTGGGGAATCCGGCGGTGAGAAAAAACGCCAGCTGCAGCCAGTGCGAAAAACAAAAGCGCGAGTTCGAAGAGCTTGCGGAAAAAGTCGACCGGATTGATAAAGTGATCAACGAACAGGAGGCAGAGGAAGAAAAAGTATACAACTGGGTCAACGTAAAAGGATCAATCTTTCGGCAAGAAAAAACGCCAGCTGCAGCCAGTGCGAAAAACAAAAGCGCGAGTTCGAAGAGCTTGCGGAAAAAGTCGACCGGAT